GCACTCGGAGACTTTTCTTCGATCACCAACTATTAACTCACTCAGTGTAGTAAACACTCCAGGCAAACATCTTTTTTTTACATTCTTTGCTTATGTATTTTGTCCTGTATAAAACAATAATACCGTTCTGTTTCCTCAGAGGATGCATCCAAATTCTTTGCTGGATGTCCCTTCAGAGGAGACTTGGGAGAACCTTGACAAATGTTTGCATTACGCGAACGTCTTCTCGCTTTCTTCTCTTCCTTTCTCGCGTAACGATCAAAAGTACTCGTATTGACCTATAACGCACGGGCGCAAATACCAAGCAACGTTGCATTATGCTTCCAAGTACAAGAGGCTTGGGTTTCATATTCGTGCCATTCGTCGTGTTTGAGTAATCGCGACGCGACGACAATGGCGCGCTAGGATTCTTTCTTCCGTTAAAAAGAGACGCGACCAGTCTAAGAAGTTTTCGAAGCTCCGCGGAACCCAGCAAACTAGTATTTCAGAGTTTATTGCGATCGTGGGCGAAACCAGGGTGTCCTTTATTACGATTTCGAAACGAAAGGTCTGAGTAGCCAGATTTCGCCAAGAAAGGTAAATTCGCGAAGAAAGTGATACATACGATTTTTCTAATTTTCACTTCTAAGTAACTATTTTTCTCTTGCAATGTCGGGGGCAGACTATCCATTTTCATATCTCACAGCGTATCGTAACGAAAGACCTTTCATTCACGTTCGTGGCAGTCTTTTACCCCTTGCATTGGCATTTAACTGGCATATAAATTGCTACGCGTTAATACTCAAAGTTTGTCTTATAATCCTTCCCGTTTCTACCGGCATGAACTTTTAGCTCGACCAAACCATTGATAGAGACACTGTTCACAATTAGGGTAGGTTAAAAGCAACAATGTAAAAGAACCATCGCTCGTATTCCAAAAAAATATTTTCTACCTTGCCCTACCTAATTTTCATTTATTTATACGAACAAAACGAAGAGTTCTATAACCAAAGAAACGTTCAAGTTGCCCGAAAGATGATATTGTCAAAAACCACTTGAATCAGTTTTTTACAAATAAAGATCAGAAATTTTATGACCAGGAAGATAATTCATTAAAAAACGAAATTACTTCCCGAGCAATAAATTCCATAAAAATGGTTATGCAGCCCAATAAGATGAGAACACAGCCCATCCATGGGTAACACTTTCATCCAGCCAGATACAACCGTTCGATTTAGCAGCGAGTATCGAGCCTTTGTCGCGACGTTCGTACAAAGGGCGCGAAAACGCGGAGGAAGAGTTCAAACGCGCCGACGCTAAGGAATCAATTTTCCGAGCGAATATCCCGGCCCTTTGTTCTCGTTTTCCTTCCACGGGTCTCGGTTCCATTCAGCGCGTCAATCGCGTCGTTTAGGGAATTTCGTGGAGGCGGTGTCGAGCGGCAATGAACCGACCGTCAACGCCGACCATGACCATGTGTACAATGGTTCTCGCAATCATCCACCTCCTCGCGTATAGATCGGCTCTATTGTTGTGTCGGGGACGCTTCGAAAAAGCACCGCGACTAATTAGTCGCCCGGGTTGATCGACAAAACCTTGGAAAGTCGGGTATCAGTCACGTAACAATTACGAAGTCATCGCGTCATGCCATTCGACGCCATTGTTTTTTACCCCCGCGTGATTGAAATCTCCGAGGTGGGTCCGTACAGTAATTTCTAAATTAATTTAAAAACATTAATTTCACACCACTGGACGTTTCTTTCTCGCGAACGATCGGTTTTACAAACCGTGACGTTTTTAATTTGTTGCTCGAACGGTTCATGGTCGATTCGCGGTAAACTCGTTTATTTTTCAACGACGACGGAGGATCGTTCGCGACCATGTACGTCGAACTAGCCTGCGTTTAAATCGTCGGCCATGCAGAGTGAACTCGGTTTAATTACCTCGCGATGCACGACGACCAGACGAGCTGGATCGTAATTCGTTTCAACGCGCGATCGATCGTCGAGAATACGGGGAAGCTCGGTTTCCTTCGCTGGTTCGCGCCCATTTTCGAACGATGCCGCGTTTCCCACCTCAATACGGCGACTGTCGCGCCAGCTTTCGTCGTTTGTTTTCATTAGAGCGCGCGTTTGATTATCGCGCTCGCCTTGCATACGCGACACTCCAGGGGTTTCCCTGTACGAGAGTCCGTACCGCGAACAACGGAATAAAAACACGGCAGTTTACGCGTTTTTACGGCGATCGGGTCAATGACTTCGATACAAGTCGAGTACTCCAATAAGCAGAGAAGGTAAAGCGCGGGTAATTTAAAAAAGATCGACAGCCAAAGTCTGAGACATCGATGCTGGCTAATCGCTCGAGTCTAGATTTAGACTAGATTTACACTTTTCGTTAAATCGAACCTGGAATCTCATGAATCTCTCTCCGGTTTTTCCGATCGAGATTTTAGATAAAATCAGACTGCGCGCGAGGTTCGATCAAAGAACACGAATATTGTTTCCGATCGCAGAGCGTCTGACTAGTCAAGGTAATCGGCGGAAAGCGTCTCGATTCCCTTGAGATTGTCGTACGGTTTTGGAGACACCCAGCGAGATAACCCAGTGGTATCACACTCGGTGTCTGAAAGTTCTATGGAACTCGGGCGTTTGGCATTCGGCTCCGAAAACCTGCTCCAGGGACCCCGTTGGTGTGACGAATAGAAGCACACCAGTGTGGAGTTAGAGTTCACGAGCCAGGCTCCCACTACGTTCCCATACTGCCAGTGCAACGAATGGATGTACACTGTGCAGTGAACGTAGTGCTGTAGGGCTTCGCGTTGCAACATTCGGCCATTAAGGGGGTCTTCTACTGTAAAACGCATTTTTTTATATTCTCTTATGTTCTCTTTGAAGTTTCTCTTATTTTTTTATGAAGAAACTATGCAAGTTCTTGCATCGTCGTTTCGCATATATATTTATTACCCTTTCGGTAATATTCAACAATTTTTACAACTAGAAATAGTCAAAATTAGTGGCAGTACAGAGTACAGAAAAAGTGTTCTAATGGCTTCTGCGATTCTAGTCATTCTGTTTGTCTAAGTCAAAAAATTGAAAAAGATTCTTAATTAGAATACATTTTTCTATAGTCGGTACTAAAAGGACAGAAATAAATTGATAATTATAAAAAGGATAGCACTTTGAAGTTGAAATATCGATTTTTTCTTCAGGCTAAAAAAATAAAAAAAATAATGATTTTGAATAGCCTTTTCCCCTCTGCACCGATGATATTCGAGTTGTAAATATCGTTGATTGTATAAAGAACGATAGAACGTATTAATAACTAAAATTCAATAATTTTACCGAAGCTTTGAAAATTCAATTTTGGATATTAATACATTACGGATCGTTTCTTCTATGATCAGGAACATTTATAAATGAGAAAGTGATTTAAATTCGAAGTATTTTCCCGCCTTTGAAGACAACACGTAAGAAGAACACAATGCACATATTTGACAAGAAATTTGAGTTTTTACCAGAATTTCTGGATTTTCAAAATTCTGTTCCCACTGTGCATCGTTACAAAATTGGCTATCAAATCGATACAAAACGCCTTGTCAGCCAAACATATTCTCAATATCAATTTTTCTATCGAGCTGGCGTCTGAAGTTTGCCTGAAAGATGAGAAAAGATATTAAAAAAAAATGGCGGGAAATACTTCGACGATTCAGCGTGTATCGACAGTGGTAGAAAATCTGATAAAAGAAAAGATAGATAAATATATTTGTACGTCTAATAGATACCGTCGGAGTACACGGCAACAACTTACCCGAAAACAAAGCAATGGGACAAGGGCTGAACTCCATAGAGTCGAGTGCAGGGACGGGAGGGCGGAAAACGGATGAAAACTTCAAATAAGAAAAAAACCAAAGATTAATCTTATGATAGTATAGCTTTATTTTAGACTAGAACGGAAAAATAATATAATATTAATAATATAAAATAATAATAATAATAATAATAATAATAATTAATAATAATAATAATAAACTATATACACAAGAATAGTAGGGACCGACATACATAACATTGTAAATTGTACGTGTACGTGTATGCGTTTTTGTAATCATGCATGAACGCGGAACGAGCGCGCGTTTTGCGTGTGTTCACGTTTGTGTTTCTGTTTGTGTGCGTGTGTGTTGTGTCGGTGAAGAAAAAAGCGAGAAGCGGAGCCACACCCTCGCCGGCTGCGAATACGAGCTCGCGCGAAATAAAATAAATTGAAAAAAACGAAAAGGAAATGGACGTACGTCGGGCTTGTTCAAGGTCGAGACACTCGAAACGAGTCGTTTCGATTGCGTGGGCAGGCGAGAGTGTGACTATCACAAAAGGGAACTCATAAATAACTAACGCATAAAATAATAATAATAATTAGTACTAGCCCTGATTAAGATCGATGTCGTCGTAATGGCAAATAGGATTCTCTCGAGGGGAAGAGAATGGGGAACGAACGTAAACGCGAGGAGAAATGGTTTTTTTAAATATTATAATGCGTGTGGCGTGCCATTGTTTTTCTGGGATAGTTGCGTCTCTTAGCGGTTATGTACGTGCTAGACGGAGGCCAGAATCGGGACCGTTCGAGATAAAATGGGCCCCATCCGGGCCTCGGATAACAGCGAAAAGACATTGCGAAGTATTTACAGTGAATGCTACAGGCACAATAAGAAAGAGAAGGCATCGAACATAAGATGACACGGTGTTGGAATGGCTTCGCGGATAAATGACGACGACGATGACCACGATAATAATAAATGTAGAATCGAAACAGGCGAGGGGGGCGGGGCGGGGGGGGGGGGGGAACAAAGTTAGGGAGCGAGGAGCAGGAGTGATACTTCGCTACGCTACGTAGGAATTAAAGGCAATGTATTCTCCGTTCTTTCTGACTATACTATAATGCATCAAACGCTTCGAGTAATAATCGAAATGGATAGTACTAAGAATCCATTATAAAATATAATAATAAAGTTCGTAATAATTTCTATCTCTCCGTTTTGCGACGATCGTTTTAATTAAAAAGTTAAATCCTCGACTCACTCGCGCTCTCTTACTCACTTGCACACACTTTTCTCTCGTTCATTCTGTCGCGCTCACTTTCTCTCCTGTTCATCTCTTTCGCCCTCTCGCATTCTCTTTTACGCTAGAATAGTCATCTGATAGGAACTTTCAGTATTGCCTAGCTCTGGATATATTATATTCGCACTATACATGTAAAGATCTCGCGAAAAAAAAAGAATTTTCTGCGTACAGATTCCATAGTTGACGGGCCCCCTAGAGTATCACACGGGCCAAAATTGTACAGGTGCGCGTGTACACACGCGGATAAAACGAAGAAACACGTGCACAACATACAACGACGTAACTCGCGCGAGTTCGAAATTCATCGTCGCGGATTAAAAAAAGAAAAGAAACAAAAAAAAAATATATATATATATATATATAATAGCTCCGAACGACTCGCGTTTACGAATTAAAAGGGCAGTCGAGAAAAGTGTTCAACGCGTCGAACGTGTCTACGGTACGTTCGTGCTCGACGAGCAGTCGATCGGTCAAAAAAGAACCAAATACGAAAAAAAGAAAAAAAAAACGTAATAAAATACGATAATAAAAAAAAAAGAAATGTGTTTCGAACAACGTTTGAGAGTTCTGGTCGCGAAATAGATCAGAATTTCGAACGAAACGCGGGTCGAGCGGTCGCTTACGAGTCTAAGAGGTCAGCCAGACACTCACCGGCCGTGGTGGTAGCCGTGCTAGCCGTCGCGGCGCCCGAGTGCTGCTGCTGCTGCGGCTGGAACATCGCCGTAGGGTGGAGGAACAAAGATCCGTACATCATGTTTTCGTCCGTTTGCTGCTGCTGCTGCTGCTGCTGCTGCTGGCCAGTTTGCTGATTAGCGGCACCGACCACCGGCGAGTTACCGATCCCAGGCGTACCGGTGTTACCGCTAGGAACGATCGGTGCACCAGGTGTCGGCGGCACCAGGCTGCCCTCTTCGACGGCGACGCGCACCGACTCGATGTGCCGCCGCGAGAATACGTGCTCCTGCAACGGCGACTTCGCCGAGTATCGTACCGAGCAGAGTCTGCACTCGTCGGGCCCGGTCGGTCCGCGATGCGGTTGCACCGCCGAGCCTTCGGCTGGCAAGCCCGCCGCCAATCTAGCTTTCTTCTCCTTTGCGCGGGCATTCTGAAACCAGACCTGCAACTCGTTTCGATTAGACCGCAAGCTCGTCGACGGCGGGACGATCGCGGGTAACGCGAGCTCTTTATCGACAAGCTGAGTGCACGGAAATCCCAAAAAGCTCCTAAATGCTCGTACGACGTGGTCGATGCCCTTCGACTTCGGACACTCGTGCGAAAGGGGCCCTCGAGAACTCATTCAGCCACCATTCAGAACCATACGAGTAGGCATACGTACATTCGTTCGTAACCCTAGAAATTACCTATGAAGACGACTAACGAATTTTAACGTATGAATTAGGGGCGTGGGAGGTCTCGAGACGAGTCCTTGATAGTATCGGGTATCTCGAAAATTCAAAGAGTTTATATGAACGATAACCGGAATATAAGAAATAAATGTCAGGAATGTCTCGTCTCATCTCATCTCATCTCGATATTTTTGCACACCCCTAATTTTGAATATCAAATTGAAGTTACGAAAAATTATGGTTCTAAGCGTCACAGCATGTTCGGGATACAAGGTGATTCTAAAAACTGAACTCTTTTCTAACCTGAATCGAGTAAATGCCAACGAGTATTAAACAAAAACTTAAACATTCAAACTTGAACGACTTCCTCTTCGTCAACGATACAAGGCAGAGAAATTGTGATAAAACATAATATTCGCATTCTTAATACATAATTTGAACCCTTAAGTGGACTCTCAATGTTGATTCTTATTAGATTGGTAAATGGAAATCAACTTTCCTTTAAAGCATTTAAAAAACAAGGAATCAATGCACGATTACATAAATTTTCAAATAATTACATTGATATATATTAAACAATAATCCACTTAAGGGTTAATCATTTGACAAGACTTACTGTGTACCACTTCTTACAAAACGAAAACATAATGAAAGTAACAACACAACACGATTAAAATAGATTGTAATAACACGCGCAGCAGATGCATTTTTCGTGGATCGTCTAGATTTATCGCTTGGGTCAACGAGTAATTTACGAATTAAAAAAAATTATTTACATCACGCTTCGAACGATTTCTTCCAAGTTTGAGATCGTCCTTAACACTAGGTTTACGGATACTACGGGTAGATTGATTCTAGAGACCAAAATAAGACGAAAATCAAGAATATCAATTTCTTGATCGAGGCTTCGTTAAAAAGTTATTAACGTTTAAAGTTCCGTCTATAGAACGGCAATCTGCGAACAGCTGCGTGCATGCGGTAGTAGTTCTCACTGACGTATCACAGACGGAGCTTTAAACGTTAATAACTTTTTAACGAAGCCTCAATCAACAAATTGGTATTCTTAATTTTCGTGTTATTTTACCCTCAAGAATCTCCCACTAAAATTTTTCCCCGATGTGTCCGAATATTTGTATCATTACATCGATTAAATTCACCATAAATTGCTACCAAATAATATTTACAAGTTCTTTAACGTCAGGTTTAGAATCCGAATGCGTGAAATGGACGCGTTCCGTGAACCTAGTGTTAACGTTTAACGTTGTTACGCTCACACTGCGTAGAAGGAAATTGACAACGAGATTAGCATTTCGGGCAAGCCGTTTGGGATTCCCGTGCACCGCGCGACGGCACGTGGTAAGAGGAATTCGTGTTAAACTCTGGATCGCTTACCTGAACCACGCGTTTCGGCAGTCCGATCTCGCGACCGAGCATCTCGCATTCAGCCATGGTCGGTGTCTTGTAGTCCGAGAACAGCGACTTCATCACCTTCACCTGGGTCGCTGACATCTGCGTGCGATACCTTTTGCCGCTGGACTGGCTGGTTCCGCTTCCAGTACCGGTCACCGGGGTCACCGAGGTGCCCCCGACTCCCACGGATGCTGGTCCCTGTCGCGAGCTCTGCGTGCTCGACGCCGGGCTCGCTGGTCCACTCTCGTCGTCTAAGAATTCGGTGGTCTCGCTCATGCTGTCGTCGTCGCAGATGCTTCTCTCGGATAGATCGGTGAGGGGGCCGCAGTCGCTGCCGCCGCGAAAATGCACGCCGTGCTGCTCCTCGAGGAGGTTGCTCAGACCGCCTAGACTCAGTTTCATCGGGCGACTGAGGTCGACCGGTTTGCTCAGATCCAACGGCGACTCGCCGCTGTTGTTGCCGCTCTGGTGGTTCGCTGCCTCTTGTTTACCGTTGCTGGCGTGCGCCTGCAGCTCGCTGATGTATCGTTTCATCGACTCCTCGTAGTACTTCTTCAGAGAGGCCTCCATGTCGGTGTTGAAGGGCGGGAACAACGGCGGCATCATGTTCGGCGTGCTCGGGTTCGAGGGAGCGGACTCCATCGAGAGCTCTTCGTCCGGGATGTTATCGATGTTGACCTCGCCGCGGGCTACCTGGTCGGCGTGCTTGCTACTGAGATGCGACTCCAACGCGGACTTCACCTTGAACAACGCCGGGCAGAACGGGCAACGTTTGTTAATCACTTGGCTGTGCGCGCGAAACTGACCCTTGCGTTCGCGGGCGCGCGTATTTTGAAACCACACCTGAACGACGCGCTTCTTCAAGCCTACCTCGCGAGCGATCGTCTCCAGCATCTTTCTCGACGGATTCGACTCGACCTGATACTTTTGATACAAATAGTCCAGCTGTTCCGGCAGTATCGTCGTTCTCAAACGTTTGTCTTTGGGCTGCTCGCTGTGCTCGGAGTTGGAGCGCGTCTCGCTGCCTGTCCCCTCCTCGAAGTCGTCGTACTTTCGTTTTCTGTCTTGCATCATCGCGATCAGCGGATGGGAGGTGTCGGCGGCCACGCCGGACGTGGCGTTTAGCGCCTGTTGTTGCAATATACCGAACGGAGAGTCGGGCGGATAGGCCGGTGGGAACAGGGACGGGTTCATGATATGTACCAGCTGATGTTCGCGCCAGAGTTCGAATCGTCCGAACATCAGGTTGCATTTGTCGCACTGAAAGCTACCCTCCTTCGACTCGGTCTGCGACTGCGTCTGTTGCTGTTGTTGCAACTGCTGTTGCGGCTGCTGATGCGTTTGCGTCATCGTCTGTTGCTGATGATGAGGAGACGTGGTAGCGTTCAACGGTTGCTGGAGTTGTTCCGCGAGTGCTGGAGCGTTCGTCGGGTTAGCGGACACAGCGTTTGCAGTGGTTGTCGTTGAGCTGCTGTTGCTATCTTCGGAGCTCAACACGGCGGCCACTTGAGCCGCTGCAGCCTGCGCTTGCGCGCTTCTCTTTGCATCCTCCTCTTTGAAGCAGTGCGTCTTCTGGTGCCGAATCAGTTCGTAGTATCTCTGAAACACCAGTAAGCACTTTTTACATTGGTAATTCAAGCCCGGAGTTCTTTGAAAGCGGCCTGAACCGTCGTCGCTTTCGCGGGCGCCAGGTGTCACGGGTTCGGCAGCCGGTTGATTCTCATAAACTTTACGTGCCTTCTGTCTAGCGTTTTGGAACCAAACTACGATTACGCGCGGGCTCAATCCAAGAAGCTTGCTCAGATATTCCAGATCGTCGTCTTTCGGGTACGCGTTATTTTCGAAGAACTCTTGAAGAACTTTTATTTGATAATCGGTAAATCTCGTTCGGTTCGCGCGTTTTCCAGAGCTGCCGCCGGATGAATTGCTGCCGTTCCCGTTCCCGCCGAAAGAGTAATCGGTCGGTCCACGTCCGGGGCTCAGAGATCTTTGAGGAGTGAGAGCTATCGCCGCTATGGCGCCGGGCACGACACCGCCCGGTCCAGGATTCGGACTGGTGAAACTTTGCGGTCCAAGCTTCGGCGGGAGCATCGGTGTGCTCGGCGCGCTCGTGGTCGTTGGCGTGTGCGACGCGATGTCGTGATGGATGCTGGGAAATACGGAGCTGATGCTCAGCGCCGGCGAATGCGGTCGAGACTGTTGCCCGCCCGAGCTTCCTGGCGAATGATGCTGTTGCTCCTCCTGGTGTTGCGTGTGCTGTTGAACGTGGCATTGCGGTTGCTCCTGAACCTCCTGCTTTATCTCGCTGCCCTGAGACACGCTGATGTTCATCGTCGCAGGCGGCGGTGACGCTTGCTTGTTTGGACTTTTATCGTCCGAGGAACTGCTACCGGATACGCTGGAATTCAGCGGGGTTACTTTGGCCTCTCCGGTTTTCTCATACTCTTCGAGATTCAAAGTGGTGCTCGGAGGGTTGTTAAAATTGTACGGGCTGTCTTTGTTGCGTTGACGTTCTTTGAACAACGTGTTTCGGAACCAGTGTTTGATTACTTTCGGCGGCAGGCCACTCTGTGCTGCCATGTCCAATATTTGCTCCTCGCCGGGAGAATTATTAATATCGAAATGTGCTCGTAGAATTTTAAGCTGTTCATCCGTTATACGAGTGCGTGCTCGTTTCTGCGAAGCAGCTACATTTGCCTGTAAAATGGAAAAAATTCACCTGTGCTTTCTTTACTTACACGAACTTTCTACAATATTCGTTGTGTCTCGTTAGCGTATCGATAAATTTTGTCAAAAATTAGTTTCTGACGTTGAATAAATTACTTTAGAATGTACTCTACTTCCGAAGCGACTTATTCTAATATCTTTTATTCCTAGAAAAGAAGTTTCCGTGTAAAAGTAAGTCGAAAATGTAGTGTAAACTTTTTTCATTCGAAGCTTTGTTAACATTTTCTAGACAAATTTTCAGTAATTTTCAACGTAATAAGAAATAAATAATTTGCACGACATTTATGTGTATTATTCAAACCGGTAACACTGTGCCATTCTGATAACTTGACACCAATTGATAGTTGGAAAATTTTGAGATGGAAAACATTCCTGACACAATGTATATTACATAATTTTCAGCATTAGGAAACGTAACAACCGCCACCATTTGCAATTTACATAACGAAATATCGAATACTATGGAACGAAGCTTGTTCTAAATAATGACACGAATATTTAACCGAATCTTAAAATTATGCAAAAAGATAGCCGAAGGTGGAAAGATTGCTGTATAATTTCATTACCGAACTTTCCTACGCGAAATAAGTAAATATCGCTGCAGTACTATGCTTCTAGATTATCAGAATACAGCAAAGCTACCGAAAAGTGTAATTTTAAACTTGTTAAAATCACTCACCGCTGCTGCTTGTTGCTGTTGCAAGGCGAGATGTTGTTTGGCCAGGAGATCAGCTTGAGCGTTGATAGGCGGGTAAGCGGTGGTAGCCCCGTCGTACGGAGGTGGTGGTAACATCATCGGCACCAACGGTGGTTGAAGGTTCATGGCCGCCAGAGCAGGAACGTTCAGTCCGAGCGGTAGCCCCATCATACCCATCATCAATCCCGGATACTGTTGAAGCTGCTGCTGCAGCTGCGAGGCAGCCATAGCGTTCAGAGCGGCTTGCATCTCGGACATTTGCTGGGCCAGGGTTAGCTGAGCGTGTTGCTGCTGCTGCTGTTGTTGTTGTTGCTGTTGCTGCTGCTGCTGTTGAATATGATGGGTCGAGTTAGTGGTGAGCACGATCGGTGTAGTGGAATCGGTGCTCGACACTGGCGTGTTGCTCGGCGCCGGAGTGGTGGCTGGAGTGGTGGACGTGGCCTCGGGCGTCTTGCTGACGCGTTCCTTGTTCTCCGTGCTTTCCTCCTTCTCTTTGTCGCGCTGTTCCTTGTCGGAAGTGAGATCTTGCGGTTGGCCGGACGCGGGCGTGGAACTCCTGGGCGCCGAGGACGTGGACGAGGACGTCGCGACGGTGACCACGACGCTTTTCTTCTCGTACTCGCATTTGAATTGCTGCGCGTACTTCTCCAAAAATTCGCGGGGCACCAGGTCGCGATGCACCTCCTCGCAGTGAGCCTTCAATACCCACACGCTGCTGAATTCCTTGTTACAATGCTGGCAAGTGCTTTTGGTCAACTCCGGTATGACGTCGTCGTCGGTGTGTTCCTCGGCTTCCTCCTCCCTCTCGCGCGCTGCTTGAGCGGCGAGCGCCTGTTTCTGTTGCTCCTGCTTCTGCTGTTCCTGCTGAGCCTGTAGCGCGGCGGCCACCGCCTCCTCCTCCTTCCGCTGACGTCTCTGATGGTTCTCGTTGAACTGCATTACCAAATCGAAACCGAAACTCTCCAGCAGGTGTTTGTACATTTGCGACGTTTTGTGACGTGGCTGCGACAGGATGTCCTGCGTGGTCTGCGCGACGTGTTGGGCGGTCTGTTGTATGTGTTGCTGCGGACCTGGCGTCGTCGAGCTGGGCGGTGGCGTTTTCGCGGGCGTGGACGGGACCAGCTGCTGAGACGCCGCCAATTGCTGAAACAACGCCAGCGGGTTGCTGAAGATGCAGTAGAGCTGCTGATGGGTGGCGAGCTGCTCCTGGTTGACGAACAGAGCGCTGCACCGGGGACAGGATAACATCGTCCCGGCGTTGCTGGTATTGGTGTTGATGGGCGGACTGTTCGGACTCGTCGGCGGTTGTTCGATCAACGGACGTGCAAGATCCAGTTGACCACTGGCGGCGAGATCCGGCAGCTTGCTGGCCCTGGTCTGATGAAGCACGCTCCTCATGTGTATGTCCAACGTGCTGCCTTGGGAATAGGCGACCTTGCAGATGTTGCACTTGTAGGGTTTCTTGTCTTGGTCCTGCTGGGAGTCTGGTGACTCTGTAGGACTGGCCGGCGGCACCACCGAGATCAACGTGTTGTTGTTGCCCTGCTCCTGCATGGCTCTCTTCAGCTTGTGCAGGTGACTCACGCTGTTGTAGTGAACCAAAAGTATGTTCTTCTGTGTGAAGCTCTCCTTGCACACGTCGCACTTGTATGGTCTGTTCGGGTCCAAGTACTTCTCCATCGGGTAGGACATCTTCTCCCCCTTGCGGTGCAACAGCGTCTTGTTGTGCCCGGTCAGGTAGCTCTGCCGCGTGAACGCAAGCTTGCAGCGATGACACTTGAACTTCCTGCCCGGATCCTGGTAGGAGTCCTCGGCGACCGGCTGGCTGTTCAGATAGTCCTCCAGCAGTCGTTGCTCTTTGTGCAGCGGCGACGAGTCGCTCGCGTCGCTCTCCTCCTCGTCCGCCTTGCTGGCATCGTCCTCCACGTTCTGTTCCCCGCTCAGACTACCTTGTCGACGAAAGCTCTCCTCGGTGAGCGCCTGCAGAAGCGGATGCGCGTGTATCAGGCTCTGCTTGTACTGCGCGAGCTCCTCCTCGTGCATATCCGCGTGAGTGGACTCCAGGTGTCTCTGCAGCGCCTGCACCGAGCGAAACGATCGTCCGCACAGCGCGCATTTCGTCGCGTCCCTGATCGCGTGATACTGCGAGTGCTGTTGTAACTTCTCCAGAGTTTTGAACGCGAGGCTACACTGACCGCACCGATACTTGTAAACGTGTTTCTCGCTGACTGCCAGCGTGGGCGTGGTAGCAGGATGAGTCTCCCTGTGGTGTTGCTGCAGTTCCTCCAAAGAACGACAAATACGCCCGCAGACGGTGCATCTCGACAACTCCTCGATCTCGTCGTTGGCGCCGCGCTCGCTCATATCTTCTTCCTGGGGAGGCTTCGCGGTGGTCGGCGACGTTGGCGTGGTCACCGCCGGGGTCGTGGAATTTCTAGGATTGTTGTTCAGCCAGTGGCTCTGATCCACCAGCAACAGCAACCGTTGCAAACCGTCGGAGTTCACCGAGTGTATTTGCATCACGTGCTTCTCCAGCGCGGAACGCTCTCTGAAGCCATCCTGACACAACGGGCACAACAGTTCCGGCGGTGGTTCCTCCTTCACAGTCTCTGGTTTCTCCTCGGAATCCTGAACGTGGGCCACTTGCAAATGTTGCCTCAATTCCTCGCGCGACGTTGGCTGATAAGTGCAATACGGACAGGTGACATCCTCGTGTTCGTTTTCCGGTTCTTGCTCTGGTTCTTGATCGTTATCCGGCTCTTGCTTCACCTCGTTACCGCACTCGCTACCTTCCTCCCGTCGTTCTGAAAAATCGTAAAACGATTTTCGCTTATGGAAGGGAACTATTAATCATTGTTGCAAATACGCGATAAGAATCCTCTTGTACGCGAGGTAGATCGTAAATATTTGTACAAACGAATCGGGAGACGTTCTACGACTAAAAATAATCTGTAATCGCCAAGTTCTACGAAACGAATTTAAAAATGGATCGAGTGTGTTCCACTGATATTTAATAACGGGTAATTTAAATTTACGAGCAACGTTTGGTACAATGTAACGTCGAGTAAAGATTAAGATTAGTAAAAGATTAATAATAGTTTAAATGCGATCGAGTCGGGACACCATGCAATCGAAGAACGTCAACGTTCAGTTTTGATTTGTGCAACACCAATTCTTGCGCCTTAATATACCAATTACTTTCTTCCGATAATACAAACGTGTAATTCGCCTTTCTATTAAGGCGTCGATAAATCGTTCATCGACATTAAAAATCATAGTAGCCAAAAAAATAACCATTAATCTTGCAGCTGCGCGTGAACAGGGGTATAAGCCGATAATGCTTCGAGAGAAAGTAAATTATGTGTAACAGCGGCCAAAGTGTTTTACACGATGCGACGACACGAAGATTTCATTGGGTAATACGTTTTATTATTTTTCATTAAACTCTTTGTACGTGTAATTTAGTTTTCGTTTATAATTTTCCCATTTGTACCTTCACGTAAGAGTAGAATTTTGATCGAAGATTTAGAAGTCATTCTTTTAATGTTAAAAATACGTTTCGTCCTAAGCTGTAAAATGTGTACAGTTATTATAGCAAGGAACGTCTTCTATTTGTAGAACCTTCAAGACCAACAAAATTAAAAGGCTGAAAACTTGGGGTAGTTTCATCCCTTAAATTTAATGCGCCGAATTCAACGACGCGTTGAAAATAACATTATAAATAAGTTTCACGATTCTTTCAAAAAATTAATCTTCGAAAAGGTGAACGCAAATTGACGTAACTACTCGTGACTGGGTCTAATAATCCCCATTGGCGATACAATCCAATAACGACATAGGTTCTTATTCCGATGTATTAGAAAAGGTTTTGGTAACTATAAAGAATACGAAGGGTGGTTCGTGGCGGTGTGTGCAGATATCGCAGATGCTTCTTTGTAACAATACCACTTGAAATTACAGATTGGCAATACGAAATTATCAAGGGGGGGAAAAAGAAGCGCGTCTGATGGAAAAAGCAAGACGAAAAATAAAAGAAGACCGCCTATTCGCGTGGTCTAACATTGTCCGAAACCGCATTTACATCGAACAGCGTCAGTTGCGAGAATACAACGCGACGAAGCAACACGTGCTGCTGGTTTCTCTTCGTATACGTTCTCTCCTCGTATATTTATGTAAGTACAGGCTGCCGATATAATAACGCTCAGCATTGTGCGTGGCGCGATACACGCCACGGCCATATGTCACGCGAAATTACCGTCGTTGCCTGTTAATTACGCGATAATCGATGAAAATACTGAATTCATTAAAGGTGTGACGAATGCTTTCTATCGACCGGCGAGAATTTCCTTTAGATTTATATTTTTGAAAAACGGTCGACCCGAATACACCTTTTGCCGCACTTCTTCGTTCGTGAGCGAAAAAAAATCGCCTCGATCTTCCGACGGTTGGTGTTCGTAATTTAGCCACGCTAAAATTTTTATATTCCTGCTTTCGTTGCACCGAATTGTCATTTTCTAACAAAGTCTAAGATTTAAAAATTTGTGTCCTAACAAGAAGAGAAAAAAAGACAATATTTCGGACTACTCACCACTGTTGGCGTTGGTGGCGTTTGGAGTGGTGGGTATGGTGGGGCTGGATTGCTGGGTGGGTGGAGCGTCAGGATCGCTGACAACTTGGAAAACGTCACCGATGTCGGTGTGAGGGGTTTCGTTCCCTTGGATGCCGCTTCGCCGATGGAGCTGATGGAGTTGTTCCATCTGAAGGTGTCTGAGGGACCGGACGTGCTGCAGAAGCGGCAATCGGTGTCTCGCGCTGAATCCGCACAGGGCACAGTGATACAATTTACCCTGCGAGGACACGTTGGCGCTAGCCTCTAGCAGGTGACGGAGAAGCAGGGCGGCAGCCTCGTGTCGCGGCGAGGCGGCGTGCAGGGCCAATTTATGGGCGCTGTTGGTGTAATAATCGCACGCATGACAACGCAGTTGCGCCGCGCTGGTGGGCGACGCCAAGTATTTCAGTTTCCACTCGTTCCGGGGGCCGCCCTCCTTCACGTGGTTCACGTGCTGCAGACGCTGAAGGTGCTTGTCGGTTTTGCAATGGAGTTGGAAATTCGCCTTCAGGTTGGTTTTGTAGGAACAAAGTTTGCAGACGAAGTGGTTGGCTACCAACGCGAGGATCTCGCCCTCGCGAGTCCGCGTTCTGTCGATGGCTAGATGGTGGCCCATGGCTTCCAAGGAATCGGTACCGAAGTTGTTGCACACGCAACACTGATACAGATGAGAGGGATCGGGGTCTGCCGGTTCCGGCGGCGGATCCATGCTGTCCGGCGACAGACCAACGTCCCCGGCGAGGTTGCCCATCGCGCCCATGCTGGCCATGCCGCCCATAAGCTCCGGCGGTAGCTGAGGCGGCAGCTGACCGCCGGTCATCATTTGGATCAGCAACGCCTGATTGTACGCCATGTCCGCCAAGGCCGCCTCGGCGTGCTGAGGCTTGTCCAACCCACCCAGATGAAGCAGCTGCTCGAGCTGCTGTTGATGCTGCTGTTGCGCTTGCTGATGATGATGTGCTTGCTGATGATGGGACTGCAACGCGGACAGGGTCTGCATGTGCTTCACGTTCTGTTGCAGCACCAGCATGTTGTGCGTGTGTTTCTCGCTGGTCATGTGTATCCTCAGGTTGCGCGCTACGTTGGTCTCGTAGTTGCACACGTCGCAACGAAACGTCGGTTTCGGTTTGCTTTGGTTTCCGGCCTGGCCAGCGATGTGCGGGCTGTGGTTCTGCTGATGGTGCGGACTTCTCGTCGGCATCGGCGCGTCTTGGGACGAGGATGGATTGTTGGCGCCCGAGCTCCCGCCACCGCCCTGCTGTAGCTCCTGCATGTTGTTCAGATGCTTGTCGCTTTGCATGTGAATACTGAGATTGCCCTTTGTCGTGGTCGAATAGTTGCACACCTCGCATCTGTACGGCTTGTAGCCGCACGTGTACGTTTCGCCGCGCGCTAACCTTGGATGGGGTTGACCGGCGATGCAGTATATGCAGGACGTTTCGCTTTCGGGATGCTTCTCTTTCATGTGTATCTCCAGGGTCTCCTGGTATTTGTAGTGCCAGTTGCATTTAGGACACTTGAGGGTCTTGCAGGAGTTGCGGCTGTGAATGCCGGCCAGCGGTCCGCCGGGGCCGGCCAGTCTGCTGCTGGCGAGGATCAGTTCGCATTTCGGGCACTCGACGCCGCTCGGTCTGCCTTGCATGTGTTCCGGGCAGACCCCGATGGTGGTGCCCGTGAGGAAATTCGGCGGTTGCTGGGTCAACGCGGCGTACGAGGACGGGGAGCCTTTCGTCGAGGACGTGGGCGGCGGCGGCGACGTGTAATGCATGCTGGCGGCGTCCGGTGCCTTGGCCCAGGAAGCGGCGCTCACCTGCGCCCCGGCCCATTGGTGTTGCTGCGTCTGTTGATGATTGTACGCGAGAGGATGATTCGTATGAGAGGTGGGCGTGGTGGGGGTGCTCGGGGACGGCCTCTGCGGCTGTTGCTGTTGCTGCTGCTGAGGACTGCTCGGTACGCCGGGAGTGCTGGTTGGCGTGCTGGTCGTGGTCGGTATCTCGTGCTCGTTGGACTCGGGGCGCGGCTGTTGCTGTTGACTTTGTATCTGCACGGACGACGGCTGCGAGCAAGTGGAATTTGTCACGGGTTCGAGAAAACTGACCAGCGGCTGTTTTCCTCTGCCCACGGCTTGAATGATGGCCGACGCCGTCGAATGGGAGAGCACCTGTCGTTCGTCCTCCATCAAGGTGAGCTGATGTTCGCCCTGGGCGTGCGCGACGAAACTTTTCGCGTAACCGAAACTGAGCTTGCATATGAAACACATCAGAATGGGTTTTACGGGCACCGAGGCGGCGGGCGAGGGCGGCGCGGTCGGAGGTGGGGGCGGCTGTTTACTGCCCTCCGCGCTTCTGTAGCTGATCACCCGATAGCTGTGCATCACGGGAAGATCGGGATTGTGCTGTTGCACCGCCGAACGTTGCTGTTGCTGTTGCTGCTGCTGCTGATAGGCTTGATGCGCGTAGAGCCGCGACACGTAGTACGCGTTCGCTATTTGAGGAAATACTAGTGAATGAGGAACCGAGACACCGCGCCCGTCTACGATACAACCGTCCGGCAAGGAGTCGTCTTCGCTGAGCTCGCTCTCCCCTTCGATGATGTACGCCGAACCATCGGGATTGTAGACAATCTTTCCATCGAATTTCTCAACGTCGCCGCCCGTTGGACTCGGGCTGGGGCTAGGACCTTGCTTCTCTTGTTGTTGCCCTTGCGATTGCATTGTCATGGTAGTCGTGGTAGTCGTTGTGGTCGTATCCGCGATAGGTGTAGGCGTTGGTATGGCATCGCGGGTGCAGGGTTCCGTGCCCGAGGGTGGACTGGCCGTGCGGGGGTGATGGGGCTGGTGCAGCGCAGCCCCTGCTGCCGGGGGGGACCCGCCCCCTCGACCCCCCTCCTCCTCCGGGCTCATCTCCTGCTTTTGCTGCGCGTACGTGGAATTTTGAAAGGGCCCGCCGTGTTGCTGCTGTCTCTGCTGCTGCTGCTGTTGTTGTTGCTGTTGCTGATGATGGGCCGCCACCAGCTGCTGATAGAGCTGATGCTGCCCGATCGCGGTCGACGTGTGATGTTGAAGATGCGAGGGAGGAATGTTGTGGTGCTGAAGGTGGTACTGAGGGGGATGAGGCTCACTGGAGGGCATCACCCCAAACGTGAGGCGGGCGCCAGCCTCACATCACCTACGGCGCCTGCGCCTACACTCTCTCGACTTGCTCTTCTTCTTCTTCTTCTCCTACCGCACGTTGCGCTCCCCGCCCTCTTCAATCGCTGTCTATCAGTAATCGTAATCTCCTCTTCGACACCGACAGACGCTTTGCTAGCTACCCCGACGCAACCCCAGGTCGTACCTGTAACAGAACACGGAATCGTCTCTTAGACAAGTCGCTCGAGAATCTTTCAAATTTAGTACAATAAAATTACACGCGAGATCAAGGCTTCCGAATTGCTGAAATTACACGCTTTGCTACGTTGTCTCCGCTGGTACCGCAGTCGCCTTGGTACTGAATATTTGCGGACGCGGAAGAATCTAGTCCGCCAGCTGGAGACGGAATGATTTCACCAGGAATATTATAAGATGGTCTAGTCGGTTAATCCGGACAAACAGAGTCGGAGTTCCGAGGACGGGCGAAAGATAGCGAAATACGTAGAGAAGGCGGCAAGCTGCGTGTACAGAGGATCGGACCGACGATGGCGGCGGGTGGGTACACAAAACCAAAGAGACTTGGCACAGTAACACAAGGCATCCTGTGTTCGGATTACCTGAGCCCTTCGTGGACCCAGCTGTGTTTGCGACCCGTCGACCAAGCTTATCTATCGATTGGATATTGACGTCTCCTTTCGGCCTCCGTACGGTCGAAGAAGGAAACCGTAACGGAAAAAGGTCGAACGCCAAAGCTCGGGGCATGAATGTCACTCTTGTGCATAGTCAGATTATAGGCGTACGCTTTTTCTAGAGTCTCCTTTTACCTAGCGATGAAACGACAAATTGTTCGCCACGGCAAACAGACGAGGGACGCGTCGAACAATTTTTTCAACGCGATCGGGTGTATTACCGCGATCTAACGGATCGCGGAGAGGAAGCGTCGTTACGATTCCATCGCGGACGCACGTACGAGCGCTGCACGTGAATTCCTGTTGGCAGCGACCGTGAGTCCAATAATCTAGTCCCAATTACGCGAAATCGCAGCCACGGATTATCGCGGTTCAAAAGACAGCCGCGAGCGTTCGCTGAATCTAACGGATTAAAGTCGAGAGGAGTGGGTGTGCACGGATTTATGCATTTACGGGCGAACGCGTATATGGGGGTGTAGCGCAGCGTGACGGACCCGAGAATTTCTCATCCCGCGGATGCTACCTCTGGGATTCTTTCCCCCCCTCCACCCCCTCACTGCCCGTGGCCCACGGTTTCCTTTCTTGTTGGCTACAAGTGCACCGCTGGACATCATGATACATACGTGCACGGTATTATGCGGTCTCTTCCTCTATCTCTCTCCGCCTCTTACATTCCGTCTTTCTCCCCGCTATCAGCACAGTTATAATTCCGCGGTGGAAACTCCATAATCCAGTCACCGTATTCCCGGCATCTCGAACGATGACACTTTTGTAACGCGCGAGCCACGATGATCGATCCCTGGCGAACCTAGGTAAATCACGCGACGAGTCGACAACGTTCCCCCGGTCCCCCTTTGCATTTTCCGATCAATTAATCGAGCTCGATATTATATTTATACGAAATTTTCAGCGTATCGACATTTTTGCTATCGCAACGATACGTCGGAAGGAACGATTGCTCGGTTTCGCGTACGGTTAAGGCGAATACCACGATCGTTGCGTGACCACTGCGATCGTGTATTACGTTATACCGAGTCCTGTGCTGTGTAACGCGTTTACAGTGTTCGAAAACTCAACCAGTCTGTCAAGCGTCGCGGCAGGGCAAAATTTCTAATACTTCACCAATTAAAAATACATTTTCAAAGAAACTCTTGCGTCTTCGTATCCCTCTGTCTATAATCAAGGTGGAAAAAAATTGTAACAATTGCAGTAATATAATTCGTGGATAATATGACCGCGATAATTGTACCGAGCGTAGACGTCTATCGAGTAAAAAGGAAAAAAAAAGTGGTAACGCCGATGCCGGATAGATTAGGGCCGGAGCTGTTGTGTAACCAAAAAACATCTGCCAATCTGACATCACCTGCCCCGACTTACCTATTTCTAGCTAATTTATCACCCGTTTGGAGTCAGCTATCGAAGGCCGCCAGCGAGCCAGGCCCGATCGGGCTAGATCTCAATAGAAACCTCTACTTTCTTCGGTCCTGAGTCTCTCATTAAACGATAACATCTTAACTGCTCCTACGCCATGCGAATTCACGACCGTACGCGCGTAGTTGTTCCGTCGATCCGCCTCGATACATCCACGGACGCGTACACGCGTTTTGCGCTGCGTGGATGCGACAACCACCGCGTCCATCGGACGAGCTAATTGTCCGTTCGCTCGGCTGGAATTTTTCCAAACCGGAAAGTTAGAAACGCATCGAGTTCGGTAACTTCGATGAGGTAACCCCGATGCCCGAACAGTGGTATTCAAACGGTACTTCCTGCGGCCCGACGGACTCCGATGAGTCACGTTCGCAGACTTCCTGTTAGGTGGTTTCTCTTGGAAAAAAAAGATTCGCGGGCGAAGGAAGAGCGCGGTACTGTTCCGACAGAGACGACACCGCCCAAAACCGCGCAGGAACGCGATCGTTCCGCGAACGATAAACGTTTGAAAACCACTGAAATAGGGGAAACGCGTTCAACGGGTCCGATGGCGTGACGAACCGGTAGATGACTACGTATTTCTAGAAGGATTCATTAAACGAAGCCGATATATCGATTACAGGAGTATTCCCTCCACCTTTCCTTCGACGACATAGGAGGCTCGTTCTTCCGCGAAACATTGTTGCCGTTAATGCGATCGATGAATTTGATTACTGTGTTTCCATCGAATGTTGCACGAGAGTTCTACCGTACGGGATAATTTTTAATCGATTAACGGGCACTCGTTTTTCTTCGAGAACGTCTATTTCCTAATAAAAACTGTGCCGAGGTATATCTTGAAAACATTTCACGAATGATCTCTCAATCGCGACTATATCCATGCGATACGAGTAGTATTCTAACTCTTAGAACGAACCTTGAACGTTGGAACTGACTTCGATTCATGGGTGCATATTGAACTTAATACCACCCTGTTTGGAGGGTAAAATGGAAAAATCAGATTTTCTGGAGGTTCCAAACAGAGATAGTGGATATCGACAAAGGAATCGCTGCAGCCCTTCGCAAGTTTAAACTAATAATTGCTTAATATATGTAGATGTAATTATTTGTAAATATATGTAAGCCTCTGTTAGTTAATTATTTTTCAAATGGTTCAAAGGAAAGGAAAGTACCATTTCTGGCCTGAAATTATATTTTTGGTAAGGAATTTTTTTCTCGAAAGTGGATAGAATTTCGGGAGTATGTGTATTCACCAAAAATGATTATAATTGACCCCCGCAGTCAAAAATAATTTTTTCGGAACGATTTAAAATTTTTCTTTTTGTCGAAAAATTTCACACCTTCACGAATTTTTTTCTCGAAAGTGGCTAAGATTTCGGTGGTACGTCTATTCACCAAAAATGATTGTAATTAACCCCTGCAATCGAAAATAATTTTTTCAGAGTGATTTGAAACTTCTCAATTTTGCCGAAAAATTTGTTCACATACTCGAATTTTTTTCTCGAAAATGCGTAACATTTCGGGGGTATGTCTATTCACCAAAAATGATTATAATTGACCTCCGCAATCGAAAATAATTTTTTCCAGAACGATTTAAAATTTTTTTTTCCTCGAAAAATTTCACACCTTCACGAATTTTTTTCTCGAAAGTGGGTAGGATTTCGGGGGTATGTCTATTCACCAAAAGTGATTATAATTGACCCGTGTAATCGAAAATAATTTTTTTAGAATGATTAGAAATTTTTGAATTTAACATCTTTACAAAATATTAAATTATAATTCAATGCAGTGTTATATAAAATACGCCAATATTTATTTGATTAATTGATTAATCAATTTGATTAATTTTGTTCTGCCTTTGTGTACAGGTAAATGAGATATTGTAAATAAAAATACGTACAGAAAAGAAGCGATATAAACAATATTTTCGATAGTTTTTAGTACTGTGGCAATACTTATGTCCACCGCAGTATAATATTTCTTCCAATAAACGTTTCAACGAAGCTCGTGAGGAGTGCAAAGGTGTTCGGAGGTAGCGCGTGGTCGCAGCTGGTTCGACACGCAGAAAGACAATGGTCGCGCGTCGAAAAATGAAACGAGCACCTAACACGAAACGCGGAATATAATCGTCGCTCGGGGAACGCATCGAGGAAAGTCGAAGACGAACACAGGTGGTTGATGAGTCCGCGCTCGATGACGGAAGGGGAAGAACACGAACCGGGACACGGGACGGACAGAGACAATTCCGAGGGGCTAACTCGAACGTCTTTGGACGACGGGGAGTTAAACATTCGGCAAACGACCGCGAAGTCGATGCACCGGGGGCTTTTGTTTGTCGCGGCCGTTTCACCGGAAACCGAACCGATGTGCGCGGTCTTCTCACGCGAAAGTCCCTTTTGTGCTCGCTGACGGTGGAAAGAATGGAAATGGTGGAATCGATGGTGCCCCGAGGGGCCCACATGACGATCGGTCGCGGTGTTTCGGTCAGACACGAAATACGCAAGATGCGAGCAATTATGGCCCCCAATTATCTCGTACGTGTCTCGTTATTTATTGAATATCGTGCTCGGTTCTTCCTCAGGCGAGCTTGCGTGCCGCCGCAAACCGAGGAGACGCAGGACCAAAAGACGCGACTTTCGAGAATTTCCGTGGTTCCACCAATAGAAGAATTAGCTATAAAACTATTCTATTTATTCCCCGATCAAGCTACGAACTAAATTAATATTCGATTATTACTTTAAAGTTAAATTCTAGTACAAGTCTCGATGGTATCCACCCTATACTCCGTATAATTATTCACAGTCTGATACTTCATATCATTCAATTTTTTTATTTCTGTTTATCTTTGTTACGTAACTGTCTTCTATACTTGTATCACAAGGTATCTACAAAGACTACAATATAATTAATTATAACCAATTCTCGAGGCGTTTAAACGAACTCGTCGGATCTCAAGAAAGAGACCGCGCTTCGACTAATTGTACGGATTCTTTTCTGTATTACAAAGTCCGTGAATAGCGAGCCACTAATTTGGTTTAGCGCCTTATCGGTCGTAACAGAAGAACAGATCGGACTAATCTCGGGCGTG